CCGGAAGAAAGTATTCCGAACCTCGTTTATTATTAATTGTGCATAAAAAAAAATTTATAAAAATATTATCATGTAGCTTAATTTTAACAAGGTCAATTTGATAAATGACAAAAAAACGAAGAGATGCCCAAATTACAGTGAGCAAATATTTGGGGCTATTTTAATCGCCCAATCGAGCATCGTTTGGATGAACTTGAAAAACGATTAAAAAAAAAGCAGACTTCCTAAAAATCTCAACGGATTCGAAGATTTCCTATCGTCCAAGATCCCTCAAGAAATTAATAGAAAGCATGTTTTTTTGTTATTATCTTGCATTTTTTTACGGTTAAAGAAATTTTATGCGATGCAATCTCTATTTGAAGTAACATTAATGAAATACAAGAAAAAATTTTATAATAACGAATACCAAGTAAAATCTCTCTCTATAACAGAAAAATTACATGTAAGAACGGAAGGTTTGTTATAGAGAGTGTGAACTCTAGAGAAAATAAATAACAATTTCATTCAAACAACAAATTTCATTTTTGAATTTCTCTTGTCATTACCTGTTCTGTATTGGTTACATGTTTTCGTGACAATTCTTATAGTCTTCTTACAAATATTGGCGTTCCGTTCAGTAAGTAATTGGTTGTTTTAGCAATAATTTATCATCATATTATATAATAATACTATATAATAATAATGATAATTATTAAATTATTTAATTTTAGCTTCATCGAGAATCAAAAATAGGGATGCAAATATTTATAGCCACATGGATAATAACATTAGCAGATTTCATTATGATATTGAAATTCTCAATAAAATCCGCTCGTGAAGATAGTTGGTTTTTCTTCATAGGTTATAGTAAGTGTGACAATGATCATTCATTCCATTCATCTCATCTGTATCGATCAAATCATTCATCCACTTAACACTTTACTGATTTATATTTTGCAATAATTAAATCATTATACACCATTATTATTGTCGATTTAGTCGTGTCTGGTATAGTAATGTCTCTTGTAAGTAAAAATCTTAAAATTATAATGATATGATCATACAAAATTATCACCGAAATTTTATTTATTCTTTTATTTATTTGTTAGCTCACATTTATATGGGGAATATTTGTACTAAATAACTTTGGTCTAGGCCTGAAAAAACATAGTAAGTAAATCAATCATAAATTTCATTTCGGTGAATAATTAACTAACCAAGTAATTTTATTATTTATAGTGAATGCTGAATTACCGCAACACGACACAAATCAATCACCAAGAATATCAACGACTCAAACGTTTGATTCAGTCCAGATTCCTCCATT